TCATTCTCCACCACCCTTGGGGGCGTCTCCCATTTTGACCTCGGGACTTCCAGGTTATACTCAGCACAGATGTTCAAGTCAAGTTAATGTGGTGTGGCTCGTGGCTCAGCTACAGGCGAGGGGTGTGGTTGACCAGAACAGCTGATCTCCAAGATGATGGAGATCAGCTGCCTGTTTTGCGCAAGTCTGCTGGGTGACTGTGGACCGACTGGGCCTTGTGCTAGAGAACCGCCGCTGCCGCTTCTGATGAGGCCCTTTCCATACACCGAGCAGCTTGGTGCATAATATGCAAACCAAAAGCTACAACCTGGTCCCAGGAAAGGGGAAGCTTGGCTGGCAGAGCTCATGGTGATGGAGGGGCCTCAGGCGGGCACAGCGGAGTTGGTCTGTTGCCACCGACTGATCAGCCTCGACATTACAGTGACGCTGATGTTGGACCACCTGTTGTCATGGCCAAGAGTCGGTGGAGCGGACGCAACCGATGGACCAAGTAAGCGGCTCTGGGACCCATCACCCTTCTCCCTCTACTATTTCTGCTCAGGTCCCAGTGGCCACAGACACTACACAGGGACAGGGACACTTCCACAGACAGTGACCGTGCATGGATGTGGGACAGGTGTTTGGTATCTCCAGCCCTGTAACACTTCTCCCTGGTCTGCGTGAGACATGCAGCGTACCAGTAAGGTGCCAAGGGGGATATGCTACCATGCAACGTAAATCCTGGTTCACCACACCCTGGTTCAGCTGGGGCATTAGTTGTGTGGATGAGGATATCGATTGTCAATGACAGTTGATCTCACATGTAACAGTGGAGCTGCACCGTGATCAGGTCATCGCACAAGAGCAAAGTAAAAGGCCACTGGGAACTATGGGAATAGTGTTCTTTAGGTGAACCTCAGCAATCCTGAGGTTGAGTTGATTTTAGTGTCTGACCACAGCACTTCCTTCTAACCCTTCTCTGAATCATTTAGATGTTCAAACTTCAGACAAGCCTATAAATGTGTCTTCCTGAGCAGGACAAACAGTTATAATGTAGTATGTTACCCATGGTGTTGTTGGTGACTGTGGTCCAAACTGCCGTCAGATCATTAACCAGCTCCTGCTACATGTTCTTGGACTGATCCACCTTTTTCATGACTATCGCCACTCTGTGAGGATCCTGCATGGTGCTCCACACCAAGGGCGATTGGTGGGACAGTCGGGGGATGATTACAGCTCGTTTTGCAGCCATAGGACCCGGGTATCTCCCTGCTAGTTGACCATGAACTCCTCTGTGTACCACAGTATTATAAAGCTAACTGTGAGGCCTTCCTTCTCTCACCCCAACCAATCACAGCAGATGGCCCCGCCCCTCCCTGAGCCTGGTTCTGCTGGAGGTTTCTTCCTGTTAAAAGGGAGTTTTTCCTTCCCACTGTCGCCAAAGTGCTGCTCATAGGGGGTCATATGATTGTTGGGTTTTTCTCTGTATCTATGAAGCGCCTTGAGGAAACTTTTGTTGTGATTTGGCGCTATATAAATAAAACTGAATTGAATCTGTCCCTGAATAAAGCCTGGCTGACACTGTATCATACAATTACTCTTTCCACGTACACCATCAAATCAAAAACAGAATATCTACAAAAAAATGAACCAGTGGCTGACTCTGGACTTGGACTTGTGACGGGACCTTGAGAGAGCTGTGCATAAACATAAGCCCACAAACCTCAATGAACTAAAGCAGCGCTGTTGTGAAGCAGTACGATTCCTCTGTGATGACGTGAAACAGTCATTTAAAAAACAAAAAGTATTTCAAAGAAGGATTTTTTTTAAACTATGTCCTGATTCATAAAGCCTTTAAAGAGAGTGGATTTTGTTTTTCACAGCTGTATTTCGATAGAGATGTTATATGTATTTATGATCAAGAACAGACTGTGCCTTTGAACATAGACAAATGTTGGCCTGTTTGCCAGCATCACATGGTTTAACAGAGCTGTGTTGTTCCTGTGTCAGACACAACATTCCCATCGGCTTGCATGCCAACCTGTCTGAAGGCATACCAGTGTGTCCGAGCCTCCAGCAGTCCTCCACGCTCATAAACCAGCATGGCTTCTTCCATGGGAAGATGGGCTTTCGCCAGGCGTTGAAGAGAGGAGAACTCAGCATGAAACAGGTACGACATTACAAACCAGAATTTCACTGTGTCAGTGAAAAATAAAGATCAGTATAAAATATATAATGTTACACATTTTCATGCATCTTTATATGATCTTAAAATATCAAGATACAGGTAAACAAATGTTACCGATATGTGAGAGCAGGTCACATGGTGTGACAGGTGGGCTCGGTCTTCTTCAGACATATAGAAACTGAACATTTAATAGTTTCCTGAAAAACAGTCTCTGATCATTTCTTGACAACATTTCGGTTTACAGTAATGGATTACACAGCAGTGGGGATACATTTGATTACAGGAGATTACTTTCTATACTGCTACTCTCTTCATTACTGTATGCAAACGCAGTGCAGAGCAGCTCCTCCCACAGAGGTCGGTTATCTCGTAGTGTTACCTCCTCACTGTGCACCACTCTGCATGCTGCAGCTCCTCTGCAAACGAAGGCCTCACATTACAGGTGCTTGAGTCCCAGGTGTAACTCTCAGACACATGAAAGCAGATGACCTGTAAGCTGGACAACGCGTCTCATTCATTTAGAAGGTTTTTAATTTAGCCTGGAAAAACAGGTTGTTGCTTTATTTAAAAAGTTTGTAAAGTAAATCTTTCTTTCACTGATTTAAGAGAATAAGAACAACCACAGGTTTGCCTTCAGCCCTGAAGGAGTCTGACCTCTGTTGAACTGAATGTTCCTTTAACATTATTAATGACCTCGTTTACAAATACAACTTTACAGTTGGAGAAAAAATGATTCGATACAGTCGATGGACTGGTTCATATATATACTTATTATGTCCACTCTGAGCACTCAAAGCGCTTTATACAGCATGCCACATTCATACACTTCTTTCTGTAAGTGCTTCCTGACCAGCATTCATACAGCTTGGGGTCAGTATCTTGCCCAAGCATATTTGGCACGCAGAAAGCCAGGGATCGAACCACCAACCTTCCAATCAGTCGATGACCCGCTCTACCTCATGAGCTACACCAATGACCACAGTATTACCGACATTAGAGCGCTGCAGTGGTTTGAATAATACCGAGCAGATCTAACTTTACACTTAGATTTTTACACTTGAAGGCGACTGCGGAGGTTCAGCACTATACGAATGAAACTGAACCGTCTTCAGACACTCCTTTGAACTTGGGTGCAGCTGTCACGTTGTTGCATATTTTGCTTCCAGACAAAAACACCAACCTCAGATTTTAAAACGACCTTTGTCTTTGAAGTCATGTGTCTCCATCACAGCTGTTTCCAGGTGTGTTTTGTTTCCTCCAAGGTGGAGCTGGAGTTGAGGGCCCAGGTCGGGCTTTTCGTGGAGCTGAACGGTCACCTACCCGAGCACATGGACGGACACCAACATGTTCACGTCCTGCCAGGTCAGAGGATCAGAGGATAAGGAGACACAAAGCTGTAACTGCTGTTTGTTGGATGCTGGTGCTCGAGTCAACAGCATTTACACATTTATGACTGATTATGGTGATATAGCACGTTTCAGATTAATCATGCAAATGTGCACCTGTGTGTCTTTGCTTTTGAGTTAGCAGGTAAATGTGAGCTGAAGGGAGGAGACCGTTCATGTTTGTTTGTACTGAGGCAGATTCAGATTCATTCATTTAAAAAATGTTTTTATAATAGAAAACAAACCAAGCATCCTTTCATCAGTGAAAACGTTTGAAGAGTTAATAATATGCTGTGTAAAAGCACAATGATTATATGGACAGAAATATAATTTAGCTGAGAAACAAAGAGAAGTCCTGCTGTGCTGCAACACAGAGCTCTGCTATTAGTTATTGTTCCACTGATGCTTTTCTTCCACATGTAGGGTTCAGTTCAGTGAGTGCTTAACTGTTGGCTCCATTAAGAAGACGACAGCAGTGAAATGTTGGTGTTATGTCTGTGCAGAGGTCCGTGAAGTGTTTGCAAAGGTTCTCTCAGATCTCAGGATCCCCTACACTCGTGTCCCCGTGGAGCCGGGTCTGTACAGCTGCCCATGGATCCCAGCACACCTGCACAAGTTCTACAAGCAGGTGGAGAAGGATGCTCTGGAGGCCGTCCCAGTGTTCAGACGCCATGGAATCAGGTCTGTGTGAAACTGCTGGGACTAGACCAGCTTCAGATTAAACCACTGTCACTACGTCGACTGTAGACCACACATGTG